CTGCATCTCATGTTAAAAGGTGTTGTTACTAATATTATTTGTTCTGAAATGTCGGGCTAGCACAAAAGAAAAAAAAGATAGTTTGAGAACAGAGCCTCCAAGACTAATATTAGGCACATGTTGCTTAGTACTTCATGTTTCCCTTTTCTCTATGTGTGCATTAAAAACAGACAAGGCTATTTTCTCACACAAATGAGGTTAGTATAAAGCCATGAAGTAACAAAATCTTAGATTCCCTACAGATTTTGTAGGTTAGAAACATCCAGCCAGCTCTCACTTCATTTATATCCCGTCTTTCTCCCAGATGAAGATTGGAAAAAAAAAAAAAGGCGGCTCACAAAAGACAAAAAATTATGATCAAAACACGTAGTTAAAACATACAAAATTGAGATTAAAACAGTATTAAACAACAACAGAATCAAAATCATTTAAAGTCTTACTTTAAAACAAAGATTGAAAACAGTACAGTACCACAAAAAGCTCTTATCTTATTAAAAATAAATTCCCAAAAGCTTGCTGTGAAAAGACAGTAGAGAAGAAGACATTCTAGCTTCCCTAGAGAGGGAGTTCCATAGTATGGGAGTGACCACAGAGAAGGCCTTCTCCCATCTTTCCATCAGTTGTGCCTGTGAAGATGGTGGAATAGGGAGAAGTGTCTCACCTGAAAAACCTAGAGCCTGGGTAGGCTCATATGGGAGGACTGTTGTTGCTGAGTGCCTCCAAGTCAATTTTTACTCATGGCAACCCTATCATAGGGTTTTCTTGGCAAGTTTCTTCAGAGGGGGCTTGTCATTGCTATCTTCTGAGGCTGAGAGAGTGTGGCTTGCCCAAGGCCACCCAGTGGGGTTTTATGCTCAAGGGGGGGGGGAGGTTGAATCCCTGTCTCTAGAATCCTAGTCCAATGTTCAAATCACTACACCATTTTGGCTCTATATGATAATAAATAATAAAATTATATGGGAGAGTATGGTCCTTCAAATAGCCTGGGTCTGAATCTGGGCTTGTCAAAATCATTCTTAAACTTTGGTACCCAAAACTGGACACAATATTCCAGGTGAGGCTTGACTAAGGCAGAAAAAGTGGTACATGTGGTTCTAGCTTTCATATTGAGAAGGGCAGAAACTGGGCATGAAATATCAGTTCAGTCACTCAAGTGCTGCATAAGCGTTGCATTTTCAGGTAGAACCCCTATTATTTATACTTAGTGTGGTTTCAGAGGCTACTATAGAAACATGAAGTGGAAACTGAAGCAATGTTCCCCTGGTTTTGTGTATGTGTGTTTTGGCCTCTAGCCCTTTTAAAAATTGCAAGTGCACATTTTTAATGACTGAAATACAGCATTAGCAAAGAGGCATTCTGCTCCAGTTATTTCATTAGAGAATGGAATGCTTGGAAACTGCTCTCAAGGAGATATTTCAGTGGTTAGCAAAATCATGGTCCCCTTCCATAATATCCCAATAAAAATAAACAGTATAGGGCTGCTTTTTTTTTTTTTTGTCTACATTGCTGTTGTGAACATAGTAAAATGTCAAATGAAATGTCAAGCCACATATATTCAATATATGCAAGATTTATATATTCCTCCTTTTTAATACCTGCCATAGATGTGCAGGAAAGTTTTTGCTTTAGATTACAATGATCGTAGGCAGATTTTAACATCTTACATTTGTTGATGTCTTCTTTGAGTTTGTACATAACATGATGGAGATAGCTAACCTTTTGTTCAACAATACAATAAATTCTATTCTTTCTTTAAATGAAATACTCCCTTTCTAGGGTCTTGTATAAACTGGAGGCAGTTCCATCTCAGTTATAATCCATGTTTTAATAAAATTCTGATATAAGCATTGGTCAACAGCAGAGTGCTATTTTGCCAAACCCAAGATGGTGAAATGATATTGGTCCCGAGATAGTAATCTTGCATAGCTATCCTGTTGCTTTAGCATGTGTCGGAGTTTGAAAACCTTATTGATGATTTTATAGCCATATATACATGGATGTCCCCAATACTTAATACTTACATCTATTTTTAGTAGCTTGTAAATCCAATTGGAGTCTCACACTGGAAAAAGGTTGGGATAGAAATTCATTAAATAAATAACAGGATGCTAATACGATGGCAGTTCTCTTGTAGATATTCATTGTTATTTCTATGAGAGAAAGTGTCATTCCGTGATTTTCATAAAAAATAACTGGGTTGCAACAAACACTCTCTTCCGTCAGGGTTCAGACCTCCCAATCCTCACCAAGCCCAGCAATGGGTTGCACACACACAGTACCACCATAGAACATCTTTAGAACATCCCCAGCAATAGAGGGCACTGTGCAGCTGCTGTGAATCCTTAGCCAACTGGGTCTGGAGTGCCTGTGGTTGATGGGAAGTGAACAGCCTCCCATTTGTTTCCTTGCAGCATGGAGCCTAAGGGAAGTTGAGAATTGGTGTGGATGCCAGAACTAGAATTAGAGCTGTAGCCAATGATTGCTGGAGGAAAGAGGAGGCTGTTACAGGGAGAAAGGGAGAGATTAACCCATCAAAGGTCCAGTAGACACTAGAAACTTTATATACATGTTGCAAGCTTCTAGTCTTCCTGATGTTCTGTTAGTTCATTGCTCACAGATGAGCCCCTGTTATTGCATGCTGTCCAGACATGTGTATACATTTAATTACATTTTGAGAATACCTGCATGTAAGCATTCTTCAAATGTGGGCAGTAACACACCTAAGAAGATTGGGTTCAGTGACTCATTGTCACAAATTCACACAACCATTCTGGGTTTGTGATGGCACAGGAAAAGGTTGATTATATTGTCCTCACTCTTTCAAATGAATTGTTTTGCACCCATGTAGGATTTAGCTTTGAGTATGAGGTGAGAATCACTGTTGTTCTGTTGTATCCTTGCACAAGCTGAAAGGGTGTGTAGTGGAACATGTTTCCAAGTCTATTGTCTTGGGATGGGTCTCACACACATTTTTCAAACTCATTTTCACTGACATGTTAGTTGTATTAACAAGTTTTGGTTAACCTAATGCCCTCTGTTACCATATTAGTATAGGCAAAAGTTAGTCCAAGAACTGTCCATATTACTAACATGGATTGTAAAATGATATTAAACTTGTGTAAATGAACCAGCATGGTGTAACAGTTTAGAGCAGGGGTC